TTCCGAATAACTGTCTTATCATTTTGCTAGAGTGTCCTTCAGCTAATTGAGGGAAGCCAGGAATCAAGATTTGTAAACTTGCTAATATAAAAAGCAAACCTCCCACCCTCTAACCCCCCCCCCCCCCAAAAAAAAAGAGGTGGGGCACCTGACAGTAACTAAACTTCATATTGGGAATAGCGAAATGTTTCCTTCCCTAAATGTGTGCCTTTTTAGTTAAAAGCAAATTGCAGTTGCAGTTTTAAATAATTTCTCAGTAACTATTGACCAGGATGGGATGAGTGACTGGCAAGAACTCTACATTAATACAAAACTTTTGTGTACTCTTAATCATGCATTAAAGGAAAAGCAGAGTGATGCTTACCGGGTACTGATAAACCAGTGCCCAGGAGCAGCCCCCCAGAGCTGGGAGTTTCCTGCTTCACCTGCCTAGTATGCACACACAAAGTAAAATGAAGTAATTTTGTATGTTACCCACCTTCAGTGCAATGTGGAAGTTGGAAGAAGCAATTTAATATGATCTGACAGCTGGGCAGATCACAGAGTGCTCTGCAGACCAATTTGAGAACCTCTGGTTTACACAAAAATATGAACAAAGTGCTGATTAGGGATCTTAGAATTTAACTTATAAGCTAATGCTTATTGGTTAATGGTATTGGTTGAACTCAGCCGGCTCCTGGCTTAATACTGCAGAGCCTGTAGTGCATGTAACCACTAAGATTTTTAGTGGTTACACGATTAGTGTATTAAATGATTTTTGCATCCCTGATATGCATGCTCAGGGCTCGACAAATCACTGAATCTACTTGCCTGTGACGAGTAGATTTCAGCTGGTCGCCTCATTTGCTGGCGGCGCGCGCATGGGCAATGCAGGTGCTGTGCATGCGCAGTGCGGGGCTGGCGAGTAGGTTTTGCCGCCGTTTGTCAAGCCCTGTACATGCATATTGCCTGTTTTGCTGGTGTAATGTTTTTTAGTGACCTAGTGCAGTCTAGCTTTTTTTATTCCAATTATTGTGTGCCTGCTTTTTAGATTTTATCCAGTGCTTTGAGTCATACAAGCATGAGGGTTTTCTCAGCTACTTAGTAGTGAACAGGAAGAAGTGACACTATTTTGGTTGAGATGGCTTCAGAAATTTCAGAAATTCTTTTTTAATAAGGCCAAGGGTATTCCCATTGTTACACTCTGTTGCAGTTGAAAGTTTGAATACATCTCGTATTTGTGCAAAACTGCAGATAAATACTTTTGTTGTTGTTTTGTCATGTTTGAAGTTTAATTGATGGCTGTAGAGTTGATCAACTAGGTTCTTTTTTAAAAGTACTTGACATGGACTAGACAGTGCAATGTAGATCTGGTGCCATGCACTTGGAACTTAAGATATAGGGAGCTTGTCTGCATGAACTCCTAGATCAGAGGTGGCCAACCATTAAGAGACTTAAGAGCCAAAATAGCTGTGGATAGTAGTGCAAAGAGCCACATACTATATATTTATTTTTATATATCTATAACCCTAAGGCACCTCCAGCCTCCCTGCTCTAACCCAATCCCCTTCCCCAGAACGAGGCAGCCCCAGTCCCCCCCCTTCCTGCTCTAACCCAATGCCCCTCCCCAAAAGCCAGGCAGCCCCAGAATCTTTTATTCTTTTAACAACACCCTGGGTGTCTCAGGAGCTGCTGCAGCCACACGCTTTTCCCTCCAGGCACTGGGGCGCATGCGCAGAGTGACTGTGAACTGTCCAGGTGCACGGCTCTGAAAGACAGTCGAATGTTCCCTTGAAGGCAGGTACCTCCACTCCGTCGCTGAATCCTGGACATTTTTTGTGTTTTTAAAAAAGCCGGACAGCAGTTTAACATGGGAAAACAAGGACATGTCCGGGGAAAAAATGGATGAACGGTAACCCTAGTAAGAGTCACATTTCTATGAGCAAAGAGGAGCTGCGGGTTGGCCACCTCTGTCCTAGACTGTGGTAAGCTGGGGTGGGAGTCTATCCTGCGCTAGCCTGCTGAGATCTAAATGTCCATGTGGTCTTTACTGACACGTTAATAGTTAATAGGGATGTTAAAATGTGTTTAAACATGTAACTGCTGAAAATTCCAGTAGTCACACATTTACACACAGAGGGGGAGGGGTGCAGGCCACTTCCCGGGAGTGGATGTGCATAGGGAGCTGGCTTTTAAGCTGGCGGCCTCCATGCATCAGCTCCTGCCTGCACCTCCCCCGCCTTATTGTTGCCTCTTTATGGTGGAGAGGAGGCTGCCTGTAACTTTCTCATCCCTAATAATTAATGCACTTTGATCTTGTCCTTTCTGAAATATTAAAAATATGCATACTAGTTTTTATATAACATGGAACGCTTCAATGTGGAACCAGCTGTCCTCCATTTCACAATCACATAACATTTCTGTATGGACTGCAGCACTTGTATAGAAAGTGATATCAAGAAAATTATTTAACTCTGAATGTAACTTAGAAGCTGGAAATGTGACCTCAGCACCATGGTGGACAGGAAGTGCTTCCTGGATCACAATTTGAGAGCTTCTGTTGTACATGCACTCTTATAAATAGATTAGAAAGCTTAATTTATCATGTCCCTTGCTTTCATTGTACCTTTTTCCTTTGTGGCTTCATTTGAGTTTTTTTAATATTTTGTGCTATAAGGCTTAAATTGCAACAAGGGAGGTTTAGGTTGGACATTAGGAAAAATTTCAGAACTGTCAAGGTGGTTAAACACTGGAATAAATTGCCAAGGGAGGCTGTGAAATCTCCATCACTGGTGATATTTAAGAGCAGGATGGATAGGCATTTATCAGGGGTGCTTGGTCCTGCTGTGATGGCAGGGGACTGGACTTGATGATCTTTGCGGTCCCTTCCAGTTCTAGTATTCTATGATACCTAATGGTGTATAATTCAAGTGAGAAGACACCTTGCTGAACTTGAAGGGATGATACTGTTGCTGTCAAGATTCCCTGTCATTTGTAATCTAGCACTAGGAGGTATCTATCATTTCAGAGGTATTGAAATTTGAGAAGGATAGTTCTGTGGTTAAATCTCTGGACGAGGGATAGTTCTGCGGTTAAATCTCTGGACCAGGAATATGAGAGATCTGTTTCCTGCTACTGGCTGTGCCACAACCTTATGTGTTTTTGGACAAGTCACTTTAAGCTTCTATGTCTCAGTTTACCTATTTGACAGGAGTGTTAAATTAATCCATTATGCATGCTCAGACACTGTTGCCCACAGGATTCTAGAGCAGAACCATTTTGCAGTTTGGCAAAACACAAAGGAGCAGCTGGGATGATACTGACTGAATTGTCTTCAGATTCAGGGAGACAGCTTCAATTACTTTCTGTTTAGTTGACATTTGGAAAGATATCTTTGCCTTAAGGACTAGAAACTTAATTTTGTAAAATGAAAATTGAATTATACATAAACTAATGTTCATCATCTTTGCTATGAACAGAAATTTTTTTAAAACCATGGTTGGATCTACAGAGATCTGAAAAATGCCTGTGGGAGAGGGGTGCCAGCAAGCATCATGAGGCCTTTCTTAAAGAGCAGAAAGCCTGTAAAGATTTTTCTTTTAATTCTTTGAAGCTTTTTGATGTGTCCTGTGAAACTGAGAAGGGAGGAAAGTTCTTCTGTATTATGTTGTCTACATTAGGTGCTGATTGATGCTCATGGTAGCAAAAACTGTAAAAGTTGCTACAGGTAACTGTTTAATTGCAGAGAGAACAACATAGGAATGTCTTGTGGGGAGGCAAAGGGAAGTGATGTCTAAATTATACTTTGAACATGTTTCTAGAAATTATTAGATGCCAGATTTTGAAATAAAAGTCAAACTTTTAAAACATGAGAATTTTTATTTTCTTATTGTGGAGTAGTATTTTGGGGGTAATAGAAATTAACGGTTAATGTTACTTTAAATTAACTCTTTAAAAATATGTAGCCACTGAAAGAATTGATTTGGTAAAATTGTGAAATTTCAGTATGTATCTTGCATATTAATTTCTTAAGTTTAGAAAAACACATACTAGTAACAACCTAACTGGCTACAGTAACACCTAACATGATGATCATTGAGATTCTTACACTTGAAATTTATTGAGATTAGTTATTCAGGGTACTTCAAATTTTACATATAGTGGTAATATTTAACACCATATTGTCCTTCAAAAGAGAGCAAAAATTGATCCAGGAAATACTATTTGTCTGGACCATGGTCCAGACAGCTGCTGATCCTGAAAGTTTTTTTTTTTTAAATACTGATTTGCCTCGTAGAGTAGTTCCGGCAGGTCTCAAGATACAATCTCACTATACAATTATATTATTCTGATTATGCTCTTGTTTTCTTCCCTCCTGCAACATGTCATCAGCATCTCTGGGAGGGGAAAAAGAAAATAGGGTAAAATATTGGTTTCTATCTGTAGCCCTGGAGTCTCTGCTTTTAAATGGCTGGTTTCTAATTATGGAGGTGTTTAGATATTACCTTTTAATGAAGATGAGATTTAAGGGTGGGGTCAGAGGGAATCCTAAGAATTGTATTTAAATCAGATGTGTCAACAGAAGGTGGAGAGTGCTAGTAGGATGGGAAGGCTGAAATTCCCAGGTTTCCAAAGCTATATGTTGTTTACTTCTAACTGTGATGACTCATGACTATAAAGGTGTCACTAATTCCTCACCCTAGCAGGTGATGCTGCTCTTGTACCTCAGACCAGTATAACTTTTGTCATTTGAATCTTCATCTTTTAATGTGGATATTATGGAGTGAACTTCTTTAAATGTCACATTCTTAATTTATATTTGCATTTTATACATGAATGTAACTGATAAAATAGCCCCTTTAGTGGGTTGCAGACTTATACCTCGCTTAAAAAATAGCTTTAGGAATTATTATTGATATCAGTTAATTATCCTGGATGCTTGATATCTGAAATGGAAATGTAATTGAGGGATACTGTAAAATAGTCATTATTAGGTTAACTTTTTTTAACTTATCTTTTAGAACAAATTCTGTACAACATAAAACAGGAGTACAAACGCATGCAGAAGAGGAGACACTTAGAAAATAGCTTCCAGCAGACAGATCCATGTTGTTCTACTGATGCACAGCCACATGCATTTCTTCTTACTGGACCAGCTTTGCCAGGTATCTAACACAACTCTGTAACTTTGATATAAACATGGGCAGGTAAATTTTCTCAACTTCTCTGATTCCAGTCTCTTGCTCAGGCATATCATTATTGTCAGTGGAGCTGCATTAATTATGGGCATTTAACATCTTGGCAGATTCCAGTTTTTGATTAGAAGAATTAAAAAAGCACACTCTGCTAAGCTTTTGTTTGCTCATTCCTAGTGAATCATCAAACTTTTTCTAGTCCGTTGAGCAGCAGATGTTTTAAGAGAAAGATTAGCTGATACTTTATAAAAGGATGTAATTTTACTTAGTATTAATGTCTAGGATCCTTAATGAAGACTGTAAGATAAATCTTGTCTTTGCTGTAATAGACATTTTTGCGTGTAGTAAATGACACTTAATAATTTTTTTTTGAGTATTTGATTATCCTTGGAGTAGGGATGTCAATGTGTAGATGACCACATAAGTTAACAGATAAGTCTGGGCTTATCAGTCAATCCTGTCGACTAACCTGCCCTGCTCTCTGCCCCACCCCTCGGCTGCCTCTGTATCAGGGAGAGGGGGGAAGGCGAGAGCTGGTGCCTGTGAGTACTAGATCCCGTGGAGTCACTTGGCTCCCCGTCACTGCCTCTGGGGGCAGGAGCTGGTACACTGGCTTTTAAACTGGCTGCCAGCACTAGGGATGTAAGCAGCTAGTTGAGTACCCAATAAGCAAAGGCCTATCGGGTAGTTGAATGAGTACTCGACTGTCTTCCCCTGCAGCACCATCTCCAGGGAAGGGGAGGTGGGGAGGCAGAGCCACCCCAGGGAGCTAATCCTGCTGCTGCTCTGCACTTCAAATATAGTAAGAGCCCAGTGGGCTCTTGCTACATATAAATGCAAAACTGCAGCAGGAAGGTCCCCCCCCCCCCATCAATTAATTGAATAGTAACATTCCCGGTGTGGGGGAGGGGGCAAGTGAGAGCCGGTACATGTGGGTGCTGGCTCCATGGAGCCGCTTGCCGCCCTCCCCTCCCCTTTGTTGCTTCCCACAGAGGCAGCAGCATGTGGTGTGGGAGGCTGCTGCAGGGCAGCCTCCATCTGCAGCAGGCTGTGGCACACCATGGAGGAAAGCTGCTTCATGGATACTGGCACAGCCTCTGTCCACAGGCCCCACAGGAGTTGTTGCTGCCCCACGCTGCTGCCTCTGTATTGGAGGCAGCAGCATGGGGCGGCAGGTGGAAGTCTGTCTGTGTGAGGAGCCTGTTTTAAAACCAGCTTCCCTCAGGGACTGGCTCCTGCCTACTACCCTGCGCTGCTGCCTCTGATAGAAGCAGCAGCGTTGGATGATAGGGAGCTCCCCAGGAGTGCATTGGCTGCCCCCCTCCAGGGGCTGTTGAATAGTTGTGTAACTGCTAAAATTTGATGTGTTCACATGACTATTCAATTACACACTAACGTAACTACTTTGGAGCAGACTGAAATGAAAGCCAAATTTTAGGTTATTTCCCCTCAAAGTGATGGTTTAAAATATTTACAGGATCAATAATTGGGAAGTATCCAAAAAGTAAAGCAAAATTTTGCCAAATGTTTTGTTTGGCGAACACATTTATTGTTAAAGAAGTGCTGCAGGTGGTTGGAAAGTGAGTGATAACTGAATAACTTCTGGGTAAATATTATTTAATTATAGGTACTTCATCTGCAGCATCATCACCATTGAAAAAAGAACAGCCCCTGTTTACTCTTAGACAAGTTGGAATGATCTGTGAACGTTTGCTGAAAGAACGTGAAGAAAAAATCCGTGAGGAGTATGAAGAAATTTTGACCACAAAGCTTGCAGGTGTGTTTGAATTAAATGTTACATAAAAAATGGGTTACAGGTTGAACTTCTCTAGTCTGGCACCCACGGGATCTGACTGGTGTTGAATCAGAGAATTTGCTGACCCAATATTGTTTAGCATGGGGATAGGCAGCCAGGAATGGTGGGTGGGCTGTATGAGTGGCCCTCTTTCACATCAGTGGGCCACAGCAGTCCAAGGCCCACTGGGGCTCTGCATGCAGCCCCCTGCCTGCTCCCCCCTCTCACATGTGCCTCTTGAGCACAGGGGCACCGAAGCCCTGCACTAATCTATTTCTGCCTCTGCCAGGCTCTTTCTCCACTCCTCCCTCTCTGAGCTGGAATGACAGGGATGGAGCACGAATAAGGCAGTTCGTGGCACCTCCAAAAGTGCTGAGAGACAGGGAAAAGGTGTAGGAAGTGTGGGGCTCCAGCACCCAAGTGCCTGGGGGCCCGCAGGCTGCAGGTTTTCCACCACTAGCCTAGCAGCATTACCAATGCTTCTACCGCATAGTGGGCTGTTAGAAGACATTTAAGGGTTAATTAGCACTAAATAACAGCACAGAACATTTGAGAGGCAAGATTGGTGCTGTTAAACTTATGGGATTGTGAGAAACGTGAAATATGAGTGATAACTGGACATCTGGCTAACTAAAATCATGCTGGACAATGGATGTTGCTGTATCAGAGTGTTCCAGACTAGAGAGGTTCAATCTGTAAAATTTGGCAACCACAGTAATTTCTGTAACTAATGTTATGTCCGCTGTGTATCTAACCTGGCATTGGCTAAGAAATTAAATGCCCAAGTTGAAAATTTTAAGTATTTATCTTTGAACAGTTGTAACTTAGTTTTCTGCTATCTGATCCGCCTTCTGTGCTGCTCCAGGAAGAAGTTGTAACACATGGGTATTTCTATACCATTGGTTTGTGGAAAATTTCTCTTGTTGGCATATTTGAGGTGACCAACTCCTCCCTATTTTCTGTCTCCCCAGAAAAAATGGCTTCCTTTTGTCTTTCCTAAGAACCGTTTGCAAGGAATTCTTTCCCCTTTGGGGAAGGGCTTTTTCCTTTATTTTTATACAAGTTTTGCATTTGACAGAGGGAGGACAGTCTAGGGATGTGAACAGGGTAACCTGTTCCCCGGGAGCAGCCTGCTGTGGATGGAAGGCTGCTCCAGCCCTGACTGGCCCCCGTGTGAGATTGCTAGCTGACAGCCCACCCTGCGCTAGACTAGGAGTGGGAGACCCATAGTCTGGGGGCTCTCCACAGTTCACCAGTTAAATGTTAGGTTAGCCTAATATTTAACCGGTTGACTGATCTGGATTTTACATCTCAAGATAGTACATGGGGCAGATACCTTTAGCACTAAGTGTTTCCCATGTAGCAGCCCTGATTGATCCCAGAAAACTAGCAGCGTGCGCTTACTACTAATGTGCTTTTTCCAATCAGTGGCAAAGTTTTTTCCTCTTTACTACACTCTGGCCTGCCTGTTTCCTCTGCACCTGAACCCCTCATCATTGTGGTCAGTTGCATTCATTCGATGCTCTTCATGCTGGATTGCTGGCTTACTGATACACAGTTCAGTTAGTGGAGGCGAAGAACTTTGACTGAACTTGTGGATGGGCACTCCACAGATCTGTCTTTGCTTTAAACTTAAGGACATTCAGATCTGTGTGTAAAAAATATACAGGTAACTAGTAATTTTTCTACCTTTATTCACCTTTAAGGGGCCTCAATATTCCTATATACCTGTGTTAAGTAGATGGCTTCTCACTGTTGTTGGTACCTGTGTCTTTCCCTCAGATCATCAGGTGCATACCTCCTTAAGTGTTCTTTGTGTACTATGGTATGATTATAAGAGCTCAGTTGAAGACCAGGTTTGCTTACACGTTCATGTTCTGGATAACTACAAGTTTCCAGCCTAGGGTGGGTGGCTGCATGACGGATACTTCCTGGAAAATCTCTAGTCTAGTAGACACTCCCTCAAAGTTTCAGTGGAGACTAGTTTTTGGAAAAGAGAGTCTATATGGTGATTAGGGTTCTTTTAGGGCAGAGGTTACCAAAAAGAGCTGTTATAAATGCTATGGGGTTATTTTTACCTCATTCATATAGGGAGTAGTAACAAGTGCTCTATAACACATGGAAACTTTTGAGGAGGGAGTGCTACTTAGGGTCCCTCTTAGAGTCCTTCAGTAAGAGACCAGTTGTGTTTTACCACCACAGTGGTTGTATCCTCTTATAATATACCTGTCTTTCCATGGTGATAGCTAATCTGTATGAAAGGATAAATCAGTTAGGCTTCTAGTCCTGGAAATACTCTTAACATATTTTAACCAAATGGCTTTCTCCCCCTAAGCTAACTTGTTGGTATTTTTCAAAGTTCAGAGATTGTTCTTGCTTCTGCAGGTATTATGGTTTTTATATAGAATCATAGTACCATAGAGCTGGAAAAGACCTCAGAAGGTCATCAAGTCCAGCCCCCTGCTCTAGGCAGGACCAATCCCAACTAAATTAACCCGGCCAGGGCTTTGTCAAGCCGAGACTTAAACACCTCTAAGGATGGAGACTCCACTACTTCCCTAGGTAACCCATTCCAGTGCTTCACTACCCTCCTAGTGAAATAGATTTTCCTAATATCCAACCTGGACCTCTCCCACCACAACTTGAGACCATTGCTCCTTGTTCTGCCATCTGTCACTACTGAGAACAGCCTCTCCCCATCCTCTTTGGAACCTCCCTTCAGGAAGTTGAAGGCTTCTATCAAATCCCCCCCTCACTCTTCGCTTCTGCAGACTAAACAGACCCAACTCCCTCAACCTCTCCTCATAGGTCATATGCTCCAGCCCTCTAATCATTTTGGTTGCCCTCCGCTGGACCCTCTCCAATGTGTCCACATCCTTTTTGTAGTGGCGGGGGAGGGAGGGGGACCCAGAACTGGACACAATACTCCAGATGTGGCCTCACCAAAGCCGAATAAAGGGGAATAATGACATCTCTGGATCTGCTGGCAGTGCTCCTTTTAATGCAACCTAATATGCCATTAGCCTTCTTGGCTACAAGGGCACACTGTTGACTCATATCCAGCTTCTCATCCACTGCAACCCCCAGGTCCTTTTCTGCAGAACTACTACTTAATTTGTTGGTCCCCAGCTTGTAACTATGCTTCGGATTCTTCCGTCCCAAGTGCAGGACTCTACACTTGTCCTTGTTGAACCTCATCAGATTTCTTGTGGCCCAATCCTCCAATTTGTCTAAGTCACTCTGGATCCTATCTCTGTCCTTAAGCGTATCTACCTCTCCCCCTAACTTAGTGCCATCTGCAGACTTGCTGAGGGTGCAATCCACCCCCTCATCCAGGTCATTAATAAAGATATTGAACAAAACTGGTCCTAGAACCGAACCTTGGGGCGCTCCGCTAGAAACCGACCGCCATCCTGACATCGAGCCATTGATCACTACCTGCTGGGCCCAGCCTTCTAGCCATCTTTCTATCCATCTTACTGTCCATTTATCCAATCCACATTCCCTTAACTTGCTGGCAAGAATATTGTGGGAGACTATCAGAAGCCTTGCTAAAGTCAAGGTTTATCACATCCACTGACTTTCCCACGTCCACAGAGCCAGTTACCTTATCATAGAAGCCAATCAGATTGGTCAGGCACGACTTGCCCTTTGTGAATCCATGCTGACTATTCTTAATCACTTTCCTCTCATCCAAGTACCTCAATATGGATTCCTTAAGGATCCCTTCCATGATTTTTCCAGGAACCGAGGTAAGACTGACTGGCCTATAGTTCCCTGGATCATCCTTCTTCCCTTTTTTGAAGATGGGCACTACATTTGCCTTTTTCCAGTCATCCGGGATTTCTCCCGATCTCTACGACTTTTCAAAGATAATGGCCAAAGTTTCCTGGAAAGCTTCTTTTTTCCATCTTCCATTATGTATAGATGTCTGACAAACAGTGGAACCTCCAAATAGTGAACCTAGTGCAGTGAACTTTCCTTGGTTCTTTATCTCCAATACCTCAACTTCTTGCCTGGAACTTTAATTAGCATCCATTTACTTTAGAATAATTAGAGAGTCTAGTCACAGTAGAGCACTAGCTAACACCTTCTGCGCCCTGTGAAAGTTTATCTGGAATTCTCTATATAAAAGTGTTTTTGCAGGTCTAAGAAGGTTAGTTAGGGTTAAGTCACAGGGTACTGGCATATTCTAATGGTATCTGCTGTATTTTTATGCATCAGCCTGGCATTTCTCATTCCATTATGGTGGTTCTGGTTACCTACTTTTAAGGCAACCTGGAAAAACCCAGAGTTCTAATGTTATGGCGATATACCTCTCATATAGAGCTGGAAGGGACCTTGAGAGGTCATCGAGTCCAATCCCCTGCCCTCAGGGCAGGACCAAGTACCACCCCTGACAGATTTTCCCCTGATCCCTAAATGGCCCCCTCAAGGTTTGAAGTCACAACCCTGGGTTTAGCAGGCCAATGCTCAAACCACTGAGCTATCCCTCTCCCCCATAAGGCCTTATTAAAACTAATTTCAAACATCCAGTTGTGGATTTGTCCCTTTCTTGTGATGTACAGTTTGGTGGGAAGGATAAGCAAATACAAATCTCTATTTCATTTGTAGACCTGCATTTTGAACACTAGAAAATAGTATGCAAATCAGTGCTGTACTGAGACATTTAAATTTGCAAAGAGAACTGAAGAAGTGAGGTGACTCTCTAGTGTTTAATACATTGTTTTTCTAAGAATTCTAAAATTGTGTTGCCTAATGTTGGTGAATATTGTTTCTAGGCAACTGGTCGATCCTTCAGTGTTTTGTCATTATGTCCACACTGCAATTAAAAACCCACAACCTGACCAGCCATCTCGGGTTCAGATGAAGGGGCTGTTTAATTACAGTGTAGATGCTCAGTCTTGGAGCATGGACCTTCAAGGTGGGAAGGTCCTAGAAAGCCAAAGCTTCTATACTGTAGTCAAACAGACTCTTAGCTTGAGCGCAGTGAACCTGAGTCAACTGGCATGGACCTGGTGTAGGTGGTCTAATTGCAGTATAGACATACTCATTTTTTACTTCAGTATTTTGGCTAGCATCCTCATGTGACTGAGGAAGAGTTGGCTGAATCTTAATTCCTTTAAGTCAGGTTTTGCTTGAGAAGAGAGGGAAACATCTTTAAGGAACTGGTTGCCATAGTATGGGACCATTCCAGTCAAAGGTTGAATGCCTACAGGTCAAGACAGTTCACATTTTGGAGTTCTTTTGTACTGCTTGCTGATTATTGATTCATTGTTTACTTTGCTCATCTTTGCAGGAGGAGGAGACTTGGGGGCGTGGTGACCCCTCACATTGAGACTGTTTCCTAATTCTGAAAGTTTATACCATGTTGGGCACAATATTAGAATATGAAAAAATATGTTCTGTATGTGGTGTATAGAAATTCTTTCTGGGAAGTACTAATTTTGAGTTCAGAGTGAACTTAATATTCTTTATAGCATCATTTTAATCTTAGAATTTAATTTGAGGGATTTCTCACTAGTTGTTTTTATTAAAACCCATCATCTCCTGTTCCCTGTTGAGTGTTTTTTGTTTTTGTTTTTGCGCTTTGTTTTTTATCCTGTAGTTACCTGTTACTTTGTTCAACATTCTGGCAATCAATGAAATTCTTTGTAATAAAATCCCTCTTCTATTCTTCTCTGCTGTCTTTTCTCAGACACACAAATTCTTTTTATAAACACATTCAGTGGTTAGAGGACGGGAACTGGGTTTTACTTCCAGCTCTGCAACTAGCACTGTGGGCTTCCATTATGCATCTGTAAAGGTCACATTATGCCAATTTTAGGCATTATGTGAGAACTTTGTGGGGGAGGGATAGCTCAGTGATTTGAGCATTGGCCTGCTTAAATCCAGGGTTGTGAGTTCAATCCTTGAGAAGGCCATTTGGAGCAAAAATCTGCCAGGGATAGTACTTGGCCTGTCATGAGAGCAGCGGACTAGACTTGATGACCTTTCATGGTCCCTTTCAGCTCTAGGAGAGAGGTCATTTCCATTCAGTATCCTGTGAAATTATTCCAAGTACAACATTGGTGAGCACCTCATGGCCTTTGTTTAAAGTGCTTTGAAATCCTCTTTAAGTTCAGTGTATGCTTTTGCCAAATTCTTCTGTTATCTTACTCTGCTGTAGTTATCTTGTAAAATGAAAGACAATTGATTGCTGACTTGATTTAAAAGAGGGTGGCTTTTTTTAGGCTGGACATGAGATGGCTGTTTTGAATAAACCATATGTGACCCCAATAGACTCTGTCAACCTTTAATTGACATAGTTTTTGGGCAATGCAAACTAAGCCTTGACTTTTTTATGCTTAGTTAAACTTGGTACACTCACGTCTAATGTTAATGTTTGCAGAACAATACGACGCATTTGTGAAGTTCACGCATGATCAGATCATGCGACGATATGGAGAACAGCCTGCTAGTTGTGAGTATCTCAAGCTTCTTTAACATCCAGTAGAAACACTCTCTTAAAATGGACAGTAGTACCACTGTTTTTGTCTAGATTTCAACTGAAAAGCTCTGAGTTAAAAGATTTAAATTCATGATGCTGTGGAGAACTTGAGGTGAAAAGAAAATGTGCTCTGTAAAATGCAATATATGTGCATCACGTAACTTTGCTTCCTGTAAACTATTGGAGACTTATATTTTAAAGTGATTTTTGCTGCTGTTTTGATTTATATTCTATTTGGATTCAGTTATTTTGTCACTAACCTTTTCTTTTTTCCCCCTCTTTTCAGATGTTTCATGAATCATGTTTTCTGCATATGTGGGCTGCCCTATACACCCTAATTGTTGCAAGCTGTCCCGGTAAAGACTTGCAGCAATGCCATATTTTCCCCCAACCCCGCCTCCCCGTGAACACAGGTTATTTCAAGCTTTTGTCAGTGGCAACCACTCTTATGCAGCAACTGGTTTTGGAGTGCTCCCTGATGTCAGTACCACCTGGATGTGGACCTTTGCTACCTGTAATAATTAATACCAGTGGCCTCATTTGCTGTATCATTACAATTTGGCTTCTTATGTTAATAAGTTTGAAAAAGTAAAGGATTAAAGCTGGTGTTCTAGAACTTGCCCTTCACTGGTTGTGTAAATAAAAATGTAGAATGACACTTCTGACTGAAGTTAGTGTGGTTTTCATAACTGTGCACTACAACAAAACTGTAATCACAGTTAAATTAGAATGTAATCCCAGGACAATTTTAAGCAAAATAGCCCACAGTACTGCCTGTGAAATAGTGAAGGAGGGCATTTCTGTATTCCATGACTTTTTTGGGGGTTAAGAATGGGTTTATATGATTTCTCATTTTTGTAGTTTTTATTTATTCTATCAGTCTTTAACAAATGTTTATTGCTGCAATTTTTCAGTGTATCATTGTTTTACTGCCCTTGTAGTACTGGAATTTAGTTGGAAGAATAAAACATTTACTTCTAATCTCTTTGTTTTTAATATGCAGGTGGCACTTCTGTGTATAAATAAAAATCCATGTTTAAATAAAGCATTAATTTACTAGCAACTGAAGTAGGTGAGAGTTTAGTTTAGAAGAGGGAAATAGATGGAAATATTGAGTAATTCTGCAGAGCCCAGGAAATCATTCTTCTATTAAATTTAGATCAGCTGCTTCATGTGGAAGCCTATCTTTTTATATAACTGACCACAATCTTCTCAATTAATATTACTAATCTACTCAGCATCTATTCATTTTTCACCCCCAGATTTCAGTGATATCAATGAGTAAGACAGACCAGGCAATTTTTCCCACTGTGGGACTACAAGATGGTTTTTTTGGATTAAGCTGCGGCAACCTCATGTGTCTATATGCAGGGATTGACAAACCGTAGATTTCAGCCAGTTGCTCTGAGCGCCCCATTCACCAGTGCTTCGCGCATGCGCAGTGCGGGGCTGGTGAGTGGCTCTCACCAGAGTTTGCCAAGCCCCGTCTATATGAATGTTCTATATGAATGTTAGAATTTGACATCCCACCAATGCTATTGTATTGGGAAACGTTTATTTTGTCTTATTTTGGTATTTAAAGTTGAACTGACATGGCTAAAGACTCAGTTCCAGTGTGGAGATATGAACTGTTGCCTCCTGTTTGACAAACAGGCTCTAAGCAATCTTTACAACATCCATTTTTGGAAAGGTGCTCTTATTTCAGTTCCTCACAAACCCATATGTACTGGAATAGTGATGTCACTAATACCAAAGAGATGCATATAGCTCTACTTGTAACCTGAATTTCTGTGGACTGGACACAATTTACTCCTACTGAGTGTGCTTGGACTGTTGAGGTTGGAAGATGAGTATAGTAGACAAGCAAACCCATTTAGAGTTTCCCTTATGCTTCTTGAGGTACAAGGACAAATATTCAGGTTCCTTTCAAAATCCAAAGCAGGGAATATGAATTGTCACCACTGACATGCTTGCAATCTGCTTCTTAACCCTTCTCCACTACTTTTGAATGCACCATTGAGCTGTGAATGTGGGGAAGATGGCTGCTGTGTCAGAATGGAATTTTAGCTAAACACCAGCATCCTAATATACTGCATTGTTTTTCAGAACATCCCTCCTCCTAAATTGATAGGTAGGTGGTATCCACTTGAGTGAATTTTATCAAGCACACCATCTATACATTTCTTAATATGCTCTGATGATCGGGCATCGTTGAACAGGGCTAAGCTTGAAGTGGAAGGATAGTTTATGTACATAACACATGCTGTCTCACTACTAGTCATGCTTATGCAGGCCCTCCATCTCCACAACATATGTTCTAAGTATAGATTGCTTGATGCCTGTTTGAAAATTTAGCATGAAGCAGATGGATGGAAAAAATGCTTATAGTTGATACCTGAAAAACTCTAGGTAACCTTAGCCAAATTCAAGGTTTTAAAAAAATTGATAATAGATGGTTGGTTTTTAAACATTTTGTTACTGTCTCTTATTGATTACTTAAAGCATTATTATGATTGATAAAACAAATGTCAAAGCAAAGTAAGCATCTTTAAATCAAACTCTGTCCCCAACCAGCATTTTTCTTTCTTGGCCTACGTACCTTTTGATTATCAATGGAAATATTTTAATTGAAGTGTACACAGGAAAGTTGACATTTACTGATAAATTAATCCTTTCAAGCTTGGCTATAGACTATTTAGCTACTGCTTTTATTTTGGCCCCCTCAAACTCAGGACATTTATTGTGCATTTCTAGCATGTGAAGGCTCTGATGGCAGAGGGCGTAGCCTAAGCATGATGGGTTTTTGTAGTCTTTTCTCATACTTGAGAGCTATTCCTTGAAGGGACTAACTATACTGACCTCTTGTTTAAAAATAAAAGTCATTGGAGAAAAACCTGTAAGTTACAATTCACTTATTGAATTTTCTGTAGTTCTTACCAACTGTCTCTAACAAGAGGAAAGATGCATTGGTTTAAAACAGGTGACTGGTATGTCTTACTAGTTCTTTTCCTCAAGCTGTAGCGCATGGGCATTTTTAGCCTACTGTAAACAATGTTAGGTAAAATTTACCAAGGGTCATAGTGAATTCTCCCTTGCTGACCATTTTAAATCAGATTAGGTGCTTTTAAAAAGCTATGCTGTAGGGCTTATTTTGAGGAAGTTCTATGGTTCATGTTGTACAGGAGATGCAGATCAGTAATCTTTCGGAATCTAGGACTGTGGTTTTGTTTGAACACTTTTTTTCCTTTCATTTTAAATCCCTTTAGTGCAAAGTTTCTTTCTTTCTTTTCGGTGCTTTTGGAGTAGGCACAGAAGATGACAGTGTGATGTGGGAAGCCTGTTAGAACAAGGGTGGGTAAGATAGGGTCCGCACCCATCCTGGCAAGAGACTGGTCCACAGCCACCTTGTCACTCCCGCACCTCCAGGCCAATCAAGGCCTCGGGGGAATGCATAATGTCTCATCCCTCCTCCCTTCAGGGGTGGCCTGCAACCACTCCCAAAATTTGTGAAAGTCCCCTGCCCCCTCCCTGGTAAAAATGTAAAAAATTATTGCCCACCCGTGTGTTAGAGCCACCATATTTCTATAGATGGGCTTGTGGCAGAGTATTCTGCTTAGGTATTATGTAAAATTCGTTCCTTGCAGTTGGATTGTTGCATTTCTTCCATTGACTTGGGATCTGCATGGATGTAGCACTTGAGTGATATTTTTTGCCAGTCTTGTGAAAAGCTACATGTAACCTACAATCCAAAAGCAAAAAGCAGTTGCATGCAGTTAACATTTTTTTCATTTAATAAAATTACAATACAGCTTTAACACATTCCTGAAATCTGAAATTTCACTGTTGCATTTGTACAGATTCTGACCCAAAAAGCAGTTGTGGCATGGTTGTGAAGTTATTGGGAGGTGTGCAGTGAGAGTTGTGATACTGATACCCAACTCAGAAGGCAGCACTGCTGCAAGCTGCAGTGCAGAAGGGTGGCCGGAAGGCTGTGGGTTCTGTTCCCACAAAGAGAGAGGGGCAATTCTTGGTTTATCCTAAGTGGAGCACAAGATCTGGGCCAAGAAATGAATGTAGTGGAACGGCTTGGTAATAACAACCCAAATAAATTAAATAGTATGAGAAGGGGGGGTGGAAGACATCAAAGCAGCCTACCACAGTAGCATTTAATTTTAGAAAGGGAACTACACAAAAATGAGTAAGCTAGTTAAATGGAAATTAGAGTGCAGTCACAAAATGATATGCCCACATGCTGCATGGAAACTTGAAAAAAAAATCCCAAATGTATTCTTAGGGGGGAAAAAAGTACCACTGTGGCTAAATAAAGCGAAAAGCAGAGGCAAAAAGGCATTGTTCAAAAATGGTTCACTGGTGCTTAACACTTTTTTTTAAACCGTTAGGGCTTTTTGAAGGGATAGATGTACAGTGCCAATGAAAGTAAAATGCATCTGATGGACAGGCAGTGACACTTCTAAGCGTCAAATCTTCAATTTACAGCCATTGATTTGACCTTTGGGAGAACTAAGACAAGAGGTCATAACACTTGGAAAGGAAAGCCTATCATTTCACAAGCTAGGACAATTAATTGCTGGGTTTGAATATATCACTTCTATAGAAGTGGGCACACTTTCTATGCTTTACTTCTCATTAACTAATAGTCCAGATCATTTTACAATATCTTTCATCACTGTTCTGTGTCCATTCAATCCTGTTTTATTCTCTAGTCCAGTGTTTCCCAATTGGTGCTCTGCAGAACCCTGGGCTGGAGCAGGTCCTTTTGGAGCTGGAGCGGGTCCCCACCTCCCCCGCATGCGTCCTCCCACCCGGTGTCTCTCCCCCATCCCCGTCCCTGCCGTGCGCAACCTTCCCTGAGTTCCCCCTCGTTGGCTGCTGCTCAAACCAGTGAGTGGAGAGATGCCTGGACATGATGTAACGTCATGGCCTGGGATTTTAAACTTGCTGGGCACTGTGATGCGCCACATGGCTGAGTTGCGGGTTCGGAGTCGGGGGACAAAGTGCAGACTCCGGCCCCGCGAAGTGGAAGGCAGGAGGTACGGGGGAGAGGGAGGGAAGGGAAGGGAAGGGGCTTGTGCAGAGGGGAAGGGTTGGGAAAGCAAGGTGCTTGTGCGGAGGCGGAGGGGAGACAAATGCCAGGGGGCCAAGCGCAGACAATGAGGAAAAGGGCAGGAGGGGAGGTGTCAGTGGGAGGGGGACAAGGTGATGCTGGGAGGGGAGAGGGTAAGGGCATTGGGGGCTAGAAGGGTGAGGGGAGGTGCTAGGTGAAGGCTTGAAAGAAGGGGTGGGCATGAGGAAGGCTGGGATGGAGCAAGTCATGAGAGAGGGCACGGGCATGAGGGTGGTGAGGGGTGGGCATCAGGGAAAAATGGAGCAAAGGGGGCAGGAGAAGTGAGGGAAGGGGGAGGCACCAGGAGTAAGGGAACGTGCAGGTTCCAGGAGATTCTGGGGGTGAAGCAGAAAGGCAGACACCTGTAGTAGAGGGACCATCAGAGGAGAGAGGCAGGGCGGGTTTGTAGAGGGAGGTGTTAGAAGAGGGGATGAGGAGGGGTAGCTCACATGATCAGAGTGGGGCTACTGGAGAAGTGGGCACAAGGAGGAGAGAAGGGCTGGTGGAGGGGGGCAGGTCGCAGGAGGGCTGAGGACAGTGAGAAGAGCAGGAGTCAGGACAGCAGAGGAGGGTGAGGAGTCGGGGGGCAGCAGGCACCAGGGGAGCTGACGTGGCAGCAGAGGGAAAAGGTAGTGGTTTAAAAATATTTATTAATAACTTGGGTGGCACAGCCAAACAAGCCACATGAACTCAATACTGGTGCACAACACAAAATACATTTTGCTCATGTGAGGAAACTGTTAGGCTATGTCTACACTGGTTGTTTCTTGCGCAAGAACACATCCACTCTTCCATGTATGAGCTGTGCTTTTGCACAAGAGCATCTATGGCAGTGTGGATGTACCACTTGCCCAAGAAAGTGCAGGTGGCCATTTTAGCCATAGGGCTTTCTTGCTTAAGAAATTCATGTTATCTATCTACACTGGCCTCTTGTGCAA